ATATAAAAATTAATAGTTTTTATTTCTGACATTTCTAGATTTAATACTGTATTACGTTTTGGTAAAGGTTGGAACATTAAGTATTAAAAGATGTAATATGTATTAAGATAAATATAATATTGTTATTAGTCATGGTGTTAAATATACATACAAATGTTTATGAATATTTACAAGGTGTTCATAGTAATTGTCCGAAAATTCACCGGTCTCTAAATGGAGTAGTCTTAAAAAGAATTAATATATGCTCTAATCCCATTTGTTTTTAAAATATGTTTTAAAAACAAATATACCTAATATCTTTTTAACAAAACTCCAAATCTTTTGTAGAGTTTAACCTAAATTAGTAATGAACAGTACAAAAGATACATGTACAGTCTACAATATTTAAAATATTTAGCGGTAGAATGAGTTGGAGTATACTATATTTTTTTAAACTTCAATTTGCATGCCACTTTTATATAGCATAGTGTTTTCTCAGATAGTGCTTAGTGAATTTTCTGACATTTATTCATTTACTGCTGGACATCCTATACAGGGTCGGAAAGTCCCCATGGTTCATCGGCCGTTACGTGAGAGCGATAAAGAAAGTCATAGAAATCCGTGCGATAGAGAAAGATGGCTATAATGAAAGCGTCTAATAGTCACCGTCCATTTCGCCCTTCCACAAATAAGATTCACTTCTTATTTATGCACGGATTTCTATGACTTACTTTATCACTCTCACGTAACGGCCGATGAACCATGGGGACTTTCTGACCCTGTATATAAGTGATAATTAGGTGTAACAAATACCGCAGCACGCAGCCCTCTGAATGTAAAGCTAAATTAACAAGACTATTATTTCGGAAATATTTACTTTAGTTACAAATGTAGCCACAAAGTGAAGGAAGATTGGACTGCAATACCCTCGACTATTTGTCCTAACATAACTGCAGGACAAAATTATCAATTTTTCTTAAAAACCAAGGTAAATAAAATGATCAAAAAATACCTGTATTTTGTCAAAATCTCTATCAAGAAAAATAATATGTCAAAAGAAAATAATAAATTACTGTTTCAGGTATTCCTAGTGACATCATGTTTTAGGTAAAAAATAAGCCTGTGTTCATCTCTGCCTACTCCAAATGCTTCCTGTACCAAATTTAATTGAAATATCTTAAGATGTGTCAAAGTTATCTTTAAATTTAAGATTTTATTAAAATCTTAAATGAAAACATTTTTTTCAGATTTTAAGGAACCAATGTAAAAAAAAAGTTGTCAACTTTTTGGCACATAGGCTGCCAAAGGTGCTTTGTCCAAAGACCGCCTTTGCTGAAAAATTATATCAATTTTTTGAGAAATAAAAACATAAAGAAAGATCTTCAGCGGATAATAATTTTGGAGGGTGAGCCTGGAGGAAAAAATTTTTAGTAACATCATTTTCACAAAATTTACTAAAATTATGAGAAAAATTCTATAAAATATGTTTCAAATCGAAAGTTACATTTAAATAAAAAAATTCATAAATTTTAGTCAATTCATTACACTTAGAAAATTACAATTTATTTCTCAATATACCGACAAGCATAGAAATAACATATTTATTGCAATTTAAAATAAAGTAGGTTACTGTCAAAGTTTGTGATAATTGAGTTATTTATGTAATATAATAATAATAATGATAATGCTAATGCTAATCCTAATACTAATAGTAATAGTAATAATAATAATAATAATAATGCATTTATTTTCCTCTAAGACATGTGTACACATATATAGGAATAGTCAATATTACTTAACCTAAGATGACAGAAATTCATCTACAGAATAAATAGACCTGTCCACTAAAAATAACTTTAATTTACATTTAAAACTTAAAAAAAACTGGATTCGCTTTAGTTCTTCTGGCAGATGATTGAAAAGCTTCAAACCAAGATAGTTTAAGAGAATTTCGTGATATATTAAATTTATATAGGGGCAATATGTAGTAGGATTAACATTAACTCCACTGACATAAAATTACAGGGCTTTTATATCCTTAAATTTATACCATTTTACTTCAGTTTAATCTCCATTAAATGTTATTTTATTGCTTATTTTAAAGTCTTTAAATTTTATTTGACTTTAAATTGCAATAAACATACATATTATTTCCTCCTTTTTGTATTGCGAATTTTTTCCTGACGTCGTTTTATGAATTACTTCGTGAAGAGGCTGGACAAGTGTAATCATCAATGAATCATCATGAATTTATTCACGAAATCTTTATGAATAAATTGATGAATAAGGTAATTCAAGAACTTCATGAATCTATTCGTGAAACTTTGAATTTAATATATCCTTTTTGAAACATATTTATAGACAAATTTTAATATACAACATACCTTATCTTTCATTTAATTAGGAAATGATCCACCATTTTAAAAACTAGCTTACTATTCTGCTGGTGCTGCATATTTTGTAAAACATATCATTTTATTAAGAAAATATTTCTCCACCGCCTTTCTGATTTTATTTTATTCTTATCATCCATTTTGTTTTTTCATTTCGGTGATGTCATAGTTTGATTGAGATTACATCACATTATATAATAGTACCAATTGCACAAAGATGGCCTTTAAATAGTCAAAAAAATTACTCTGTCAAGGAAGTTATAACTCCATATTCATTTAAAGTGAAATAGACTATAAAGTGGATCTTACATGTTTATCTGTGAATACTCGTATCCCTATAGGAATAAAACATGGTCATTAATTAACTAAATATTTATAAGTGATCAATAATAGACAGTAAGGTAAGTAGGTAATTGTAATTGACAATTTCTAATATAAAGTACTAGCAATACTTTGATATGATTCTTTTTAATAAACACAGATGTTGCTGCTGTTCCTGAAATTTCCCAAAATAACTAACTCGAAATTATGGCTTTAGAAAATGTTATACAATGTTTTTATCAGCGATGGCCTGATGGATGAAAATTAAAGTAGCAATATTTTGATAATAAAGCATGGAATACTTACTTTTTTAGGGACGTCTAGTCTCTAAACACTGGGTGAGGATATTTTCCTACTAGTGTAGATATAATTTAATTACTTCAGTTAGTATGCTAAAAAATGACTATACACAAGTAGGCTAGCATAATAAATTTTAATTAAATCAAATAAAGCATTTTTAAGTTATTTGCAACTTTAAGTCTATTGTCTTCGTGCTCAGAAATAAATTACCTCCTCACAGTAGTGTATTTTTTTGTCTACATCCTTAGATGTATCAAACTGAATAAGTTTAAGTCTATAGCAGATAAATAACTAAGCAATTTTGGATAAATATGTTGTTCTGCTGTTGTACAGCATGTACATGGAATATTAAGATATACACTTATTATTGGGTACGTAATAAATATTAGTAAATTCCCTTCTATTTTGATAGTGTATATGCCTGTCTAAAGAACTTAAAATTTCTTCTTACACTTTTAAACAGTAGTTGCATAAGTACTAAGAATTAAATTAAGGTAACCAAACCTGATTTTACAAGTTTAAAGAAACAAAAAAGTGAAATAGCTGTCAGTTGCACATACAGACCCTAAAACGCAGGGGATTCTTACTAGGCAAATTGAAATAGCTTTTAGCTGAGTACATATATTAAATATATTTAAAGTAATGCTAGACGATTATAGTACGGGACTAGACCCTCCCAGACTTATATACATCCTTTTAAGCTGTTGATGATAGGGAGGATAAAAATCAAGAATGTAAATGATAATTTTATTATATATTATGCTTCATAGAAATGAAATTTATTTGAAAATAAAATATATTAATATAAGAGTACCATAAATTTTTTTCAAACCTTGATTACAGATACTTTCCAATCTGCGACTAACAAGTGCTGTTGCAAAATATATAGTGTTATTTATACTGCTTATATGTTTATTTGTTGAAAAAATATACAATATTTATTTTAGGTTTAAATAAATTAAAATCGTATATAGTATGAGAACAGTTTAAAAGTTATTTTATAGGTTTGTTTTCACCATCACCTTGGGTGGTTTGTTAATGGTGAAATAAAATAACATAGACGAAAAACTAATAAGTGAACCCATGACGATAATATAAAATGAATATCGAAACCAAAAATCATTTTCTATCGACTCTATTTCAGTCATGAACCAAATCATGCACATAACAAAGTTTTCAATAAAAGCTAAAACAAAATATCCATAGTAAATAAATGTCGCCTTTTTAAATTTGATTTTAAATTCAATAATACAAAATATGTAAATTAATCCGATAAAAATGAAAAAAATGGCTTTTGCTCTTTTCACTTCGTCAGACTTTACATCATACAATAAAAATCCCATGATTATTGCATAATGAGAAGCTAACAACCAAACTGTTTCTTTGATAAAAAAGTATGCAAATACAGAAATAGCTAAAACTCGCACTAAGAGAAAACAAAACCACCATAAGAAAGCTACCAATTTTCCTGCCAAATCGTCATCTTGTAAACCTTTAACATATATGACACGGGAAATATTAAAATCCGGTTCTGATATTTCAGAGGTAATCTGCTCCCTAAATACCTGTCGTTTTGGTCCATCAACCACTGACGTTTCTCTTAACATTGTTATTTGTTCATAATCTGAAAAAAAACCTTTGTTCTACATAGTTGATTCACTTATTTATACATACTAGAACTCTTTGATTCTAAATTTTCAGTTCCTGCTTTAGTATTAACAACTTCCTCAAAATCTGTTTCCACAAATGTTTGACGCCTATTTCCTCCACTTGCCATACTTGTACTTGGCTCTAGATAAATATCGCTACTTCTTCTGCTTTCTGATACCTGTGGCGGTTGAAGATCATATATTTCTTCAATATTCGTAGTAACTCTTCGTTTTTGTACTACTAATCTATAAAAGAATAAAATTGTACTAGAGGTCAAATAGAACATAATAAATACTAACCCTGATTGGGAAACATTTGATCTTAACGCCACTGATGAGGGTCGAGATAATTTATGTGATTTATACCAAGGATATTGTTTTCCAGTTAACTTTTGTGATTTAAATCTTTGGTAATATGTTGTTGTAATTGAAACTTTAGCTAGATTTAGTATCAAACTTATAAATTGTGCTTTCTCTGCAAATAAGATGTTGCATATTTACTAATTCCAAAAAAAATATGTAACAAAAAAAATTAAACTATTAAGTACTTGATTTTTTTGTTTATAGTAGCATAGATACCACTAGAAATGAATTCCAACACTAACTACAAGGATGCGACGAACAAAGAAAATACACAAGCACTAGGTTTTACCAAACTGGAACTAATTTAAAATGATTTGATTTATGTTATTAATAACGGATGTATTAAAAGATTTAACTGGCTACTTACCGAGTTATAACTACATTTTTTTAATGGTAATGAGCTAATTAAAAAAAAAATATGATGAAAATTCTATCAAATAAGGTCAATGTTCTTTGATACCAAAAATCTAGGTATACAAAAGATTTCAACAACATAGACAGAAACAATTACTCTTTGGACTACATACCCATGAAGTAGTTTCCAGTTATATCTTCAGTTTTGTTTATGAGGTTAGATATCTTTTGCAAGAACATTGTTTGACTTCTTTTGATAGGATCTTTAGGAAAATTTTTTGAATATATACAGAGTGTTTCTCATAAGATCCGACACAAAGCAGAGGCATGTAGGGGATTTAACGCAACTTACCTTTATATGCACCTACAAGTAGCACTCCTGAGAAGTTATAGGCTCAGAAAAACCAAATTTAGTACACGGTAAGAGTATACCAAATGTGGCCAAGTGTACGAATCGACAATAAAATTAGAGTTCAATTGAGGCATTTTAAAGGATTGATAAGTGATGATGCACCATTTACATGTGAGAAAATTTTTTTACCTGTTGGCGTACTTAAAAAATTATTACTTTATTTTATGAGGAATTTAATTCTAAAACTTTTCTTACTCTTGTTAGTTTTCAATAAACTGTCGTTTTCAACAAAAACACGAATAACTAATAATACATGAATTTTCGATGATTTTAAATAACACAGCTACAATACGTATTATTAGTTATTTGTATTTTTATTCAAAACGATAATGTTTTTTCATTCCAATTCTCCATAAACTAAAGTAATGATTTTTTTACGATTTAAAAATTCTGTCATTTTAATGTTAATGGTGCATCATCCCTTATCAACCCTTTAAAATCCTACAACTGAACTCTACTTACTGTCGATTAATGATCTTGGTACACTCACACCATGTACCAAATTTGGTTTTTCGAAGTTCGAGTATATCTGAGATATTGATTTTTTCGAAATTTGAAACCGCACTTTCAAGGCCTATAACTTCTCAGTGGTGCAGTTTAGTATAAAGGTAAGTTGCATTAAATCACCATATTTTGAGTTCACCTACATGCCCCTGCTCTGTGTCGGTTCTTATGCGAAACATCCTGTATAACTTTTGCAATGTTACCATTTTCTTGATTTTATACAGTGTTTTGTAACAAGCGTAAATAAATTTAGAAAGATAGAGCATAAAAAATGTTATAAGTTTGCCTTATAATCCTACCTACAATATTTTATATTAAGTTGAGAAATTATCCTATTACAATTAATTAAAAAACAATAATTTTTAACAATAGCTTATGTTTGCTGGTTCTGATTTATTTTCTGCTCTTTGAATTGGCACTAAGAATTAAAAATACCAACGGCTTCTTTCTTGGATTGATTACGATATTATTACGATATGATATGATTACGATTACGATATGATTGATTGATATTGATTACGATACAAAAAGTGGATTGTACATTTATGTTTGATATATAAAATTATGCGTACAAAAGTTTGTCACCCGGGTTGGGTACGTATAAAGGGTTGCATATACATATTTGTTTTTCATATAATATTTTTATTAGGGCTTTAATTTTTTAATTTCAGGAATCCAAAAGTAATGACATGCAGTCACGGTACAGAAATATAAATAAAATTATGTTCATCAAATAAAAAAGATATTTAGTAGCAATAGAATAAATAGCACCTAAAAAAATCCAGTGTGTTCAAATCTGGAAAACCAAATGGCTATGCGATCCTATTTAGATATTGTTCGTTTATCCACCTGAACATTTATTATGGTTTCATTCATCTGACATAACTGTTCATTGCAACTAAAAGGTGAAAAAATATAATTTCGAAGAACATAATTTTGTTAACACTTACTAATTCTTGATTAATGATTTTATTTATTTTATATTCTTAATGCCATTTTGATTTTTTAATAAAATTACATATAAATATCTCTATAACTGATTTTTTTGTCATTATTATCTTTGGAATCTTAACTCAAAAACTGTAAAACCTTGCGTATTTTGTTTATAAACTAAAAATTGTATAGACAAATAGCTATACAGGGTAAATTTTATGCTATCAAAACTTACAATTAACTTTTGACAGGAAAAATGAAAGGTTATTTTAAATTTCATGGCTACTATGATGACGAACTTCCGTTGCTACCTCTATCTTGTCGGGTGCACGACAATAAATTTTGCAAATTTTAAAGAGAACGGTTCATGTTGGCGACATTGAACAAGAGTACCTTTTTTGTGACATATTAGTTTATTTTTCAGAAAATTTGATCAATTTTCCGAAAATGCAAAGGACATTTTTTTTTCATAATAAAATCCTATGTGCTACCCCGGCTCTTCGCTCCTGGGCGATGGGAATAAATTGTTTTTGCACGAAATTGTTGCATTTTAGTGTCTAAGAAACTGCACCAAGATTCATTTAAATTGCCTAACTTTTGTAGAAGTTATTGCGAAAAATTGTTTCTCAAACTGTACCTTTATCACCCTGTAACTTTTTTATTATGCATTTTCAGACCTATGTTTACATGAAACTTTTTGCTCAAAATGACATTTTCTATCTGTCATATTCATTTGGCACCATAGTTTAGAAACACCCTGTATAATTATGATTTATTATTTTTATTTATATGTATTATTATTTAATTTCAAAGAACATAATTTTGTTAACACTACTAATTCTTGATTAATGATTTTATTTATTTTATATTCTTAATGCCAATTTGATTTTTTAATACAATTACATACAGGGGTAACGGATGCTGATGGCCAAACTTCAGGGGGTTATTATACAAGTAATTTTCAACAAAAAAGTATTATAAGATTTTTTTGGAAAGTTGATAGTTGCTCTTTTATTTAAAATTATTTGATATAAAAAAATTGTGTGCCTTTTTTCATAAAAACAAAAATATCTCTGTTATTCTTACAGCCACATAAAATTTAGGCATATCATCGGAAAGAGCGTTAAATTTACTACAAGACTAGCGCATATGAGTGTTTAAAAAATTTTCCATACCAGGAGCTGTAAAAAATTAAATGTAATAATTGGAAATGAGCAGAATTAGTGGTATCTCCTTATTGATGATAACGCCAAACATTTGTTAATGAGGACGTATTTTTTCTTCAGCAAAAAGTACTGTAAGCTTTTCAACGATATATCAACTTTTGAGTTTGCTATTTTTTTGGCAACAATATCAAGGGCAAAAGTAATAAAACCGTCCCTCCAATAATCAATACAGATTCAAAGTTAACGTATGGATGGGTATAATTGGAAATTACGTTCTTAGACCAATTATACTAGAAAATACATTACATGCAGAGGCATTTCTTGATCTTCTTCAGAACGAACTGCATAATATATTAGAAGAGGTTCCTTTAAATTTTCAGATTAATTCCTGGCTTCAAATGGATGGTTGCCCTGCAGACAACAGCAGGGAGATTCGGGCATGGCTAAACGAGCATTATGAAGATAGATGGATAGGACGCTTTGGTACAGTTAGGTGGCCTCCTCGAAGTCCTGATCTAACTCCGTTAGACTTCTTTTGGTGGGGTAGATTAAAATCTTTGGTATATGAAGTACCAATTGAAACTCGAGAACAGCTCGAACAAAGGATTTTTGCTTGTTGGGAGCTACTTCTACAGCAAAATGGAGAAGTACGTCGCACAGTTCCCTTCGTGTGGAGAAGGTGCGTTTTATGTATCCGTCAAGGGGAAGATTACATCGAAAATTATTAAGTCATTGTAAACATGTTACTAAGTTATAACTAATTTTTTCATCAATTTTGTTACTTTAATTTAAAAAAACAGTATTAAAATAAAAATTAAATACTATAAAGTTTGTGTATTTTCGATTTTTACGGTTTTATAACATTTGTCCTTGATATTGTTGCCAAAAAAAAAGTAGCAAACTCAAAAGTTGATATATCGTTGAAAAGCTTACTAAATACAGTAGTTTTTGTTGAAGAAAAAACATGTCCTCATTAACAAATTTTTGGCGTTACCACCAATAAGGAGATACCACTAATTTTGCTCATTTCACAATTATTTAATTTAACTTTTTACAGCACCTAGTATAGAAGATTTTTAAACACTCATATATGCTCATCTTGTGGTAAATTTAACGCTCTTTCCGATGGTATGTCTAAATTTGATGCGGCTGTAAGAATAACAAAAATATTTTTGTTTCTATGAAAAATGGCAAACAATTTTTTGAAATCAAAAAGTGTTAAATAAAAGAGCAACTATCAACTTTCCAAAAAAATCTTATAATACTTTTTTGTTGAAAATTACTTGTATAATAACCCCCTGAAGTTTGGCCATCAGCATCCGTTACACCCTGTATAAATATCTCTATAACTGATTTTTTTTTGTCATTATGTTATTATTTTGTTTATAAACTAAAAATTGTATAGACAAATAGCTATATAATTATGATTTATTTACTGCATAAGAAGTATTTCACTGTAGCTCTATTAGAAATATCGTTTGTATACTTAACTGGACCTATGAAATAATTCTCAAAAAAAAGTGCCAAACAATGCAAAAATTGAATAAATTAATATTTATGTTATCAAAAATATGCCAAATTATAGTTTTTCTTGAATACGTATATCCAAATCTATAAGGTAGAATAAATTTGAAATTGTCATAACATTCTGATGGATAAAAGTTGGTACACCTTGTATTTAAAAAATAATAATAATAGTCAAATTAATTAGACAAACAGATCTAGCTACTTTGATGGTACTTACGAGTTTCTCTGTTGATATCAGTGTTATGTCTCATCAAAATATAAAGCTGAAATAAAACTTGAGGAAGTGCATGTACATAAGATTGTAAAAATACATACAACTCAATAGATCTTGCAGCTTCAACTACTGCTTTAGCTTGCATAATAAATATTTCATCAGTTGATCTTACAGCCTCAATAGACCAAAATATTCTTTCAGCAAATCTGAAATTTTCAAAAGAATATGAAATACAATTTCAAAATATGAAATCTTGGAACAGAGTTACTACATGCATATGTCAATTTAAATAAATCCCATCATTCTTTGGTCACAAAAGTAGGTGTGAAAATTCTTAATTCTTTTTCTAGCTGGACCATAAAAATCTTATTAATGCATTGTATTTACTACAGTATTTTAAAATAAAATCAACTTTTTTGGGACATAAAATATGTCAATCACGAATTAATTATTTTTCTCAGTTTTTAGTATTTTTTTATCAAATTGAAAAGAAATGAATTACCTACTCAAAAAACTTTAAACAAATAAAAATAGGATCAACCAAGGGATTGACTTTATAAACTTATTTCTGCCAACTAAAAATATCACACTGAGAAAGTAGAAAATTGTTTATGATTTCACGAAAGAAGCAATGTTTTATTGTAAAGTGTGACGTGTGATGGTAAAAGTTTTAATAACTAGGTGGACTTCACAGGGTCTAACGACACTTAGAGTGTATGGAAATTCACTAAACATTCACTAAAATAAAAAATTTAGATAAATTTGGAATGAATATATCTAATACGAATTTTTCGAAACAAAATGTCTGGATCTGGTTCATGTTAACCTTGATTTTTTAGAGGCATAATATTGGTATGCAACGACTTTGCCCCCATTTAAGCTACTTCATATCTCGTACCGTTTCCGAGATCCCTGTAGTGAGAAGCGAATTTGTAACAGCCTGTATTAGTAGTCGAGCTATACCTGGCCGAACTATTAGAAGCCTGGTATATATAATATGGAAATCTTCTTGAACCTTTAATTTTATAACGCAGATTATTTATTATCTTGGGTATCAAGTTCTAGTTTGAACGCTGGTCAAAAAATTATCAAAAACAACAGCAGCAATTTTTTATTAAAATCCTTAACATTTCATTGCCGAATGAGAACTTTTTCAAGATAAATTTTCAATCAAAACATCATCTTACAAAGTCAGTAACTAAAAACCTGAAAATATAAAAGTACATTAAATTTAGAAACTTTTTGTCTATACTTTTTTCATAAATTGCAATGTTTTCGAGAAAAATGTCGAAATGTGATCGAATGCATAAGCCATTGAATTTAGAAACTTTTTTGTCTCTTGATATTTGTTTCGTAAAACGCAATGTTCTTGAAGAAAATGACGAATTACGATATGCATTCGATCACATTTCGACATTTTTCTCAAAAACATTGCAATTTACAAAATTTGCCATTTTCTTCAAGAACATTGCGTTTTACGAAACAGATATCAAGAGACAAAAAAGTTTCTAAATTCAATGGTTTTCTAGCTAACTAATAATTAAAAAAAAAATCAAATTTGCGACCAAATTTTTCTGGTTCCAAAAACAAGGGGGCCCACGAAAAAGTATCTTAAGGGGGTTTCTCGCCAAAAAGCGTAGCCCTGCGAGATTCCACATGTCATAAAACTATTGTGTACCAAATTTAGTGATTCTCGTACAACATGGTTTTGAGATATAAAAAAAAACACTTAGGGACAGAATTCAGGGGGCTGTAACTCCAAAAGAGGGGGCCAGTTTGCAAAAAGAAAAAATACGGGTCTCCTAAATTTGTCTTAAGAATCTATGACCAAATTTTGTTGCATGGATTTCAGGACACCCTGTATTTAATAATTTCAATTACTTACCTCCACATACTCCAAATTGGAAATAGTAAATGTTCTAGTGTTTTAATAACAAACCATTTTATATTTTCTATACCACAACCTACTAATTCTGGCCAAAGATCCCAATTTGATATTATAATTATAAAACTTCCCAAAAGTGGAAGATACATTATAAATATTGTAAGAGAAGCCCAAATGGGATCGCCATTTTTATAATGACAAAATATTACTGCTATATCCGTGGCAATAATAAAAATATATAACAAGCAAGCACATATTGAAGGCACTAAGTAATTCACTAAAGCATCTTGATGTGAAGACAACTTATAACCCAATAAGACCTTATTTTTATCATTTTCTAACTTAGTCATTTTGTACCATTTTTTATAAGTGACTGTTGTTTATTAATATTATTAATAAAACACTAAGAATTCATATTTATGTTGTTTATCTTATCTTATCTGGCAATATTTACAAAAGATAATGTACATATTAAACAATGACACATAGATCAACTTGCTGGTTCTAAACCTTCCAAATATGAGTGTTTACCTAACATCTCCGAGACAGGTTCTTTTTTATTGTATTCATCATCAAACTTTGACCCCACAGCCCAAAGAGAGTCCAAATCATATAACTCTCTCGATTTTGTTGAAAATATATGTAGCGCTATATTACCTGCAAAAGAAGTATACATATTTTGTATTATTATAATTCTCTTGAAATGTGTTAAACATTTTCTGTAATATATGGCGTACTCAAGGCTCAGTATTGGGTCCTATATTATTTATTATTTTCATCAATGACATTCTCTGTTGTTTAACTGATTGCAAAATACATCTGTTTGCAGATGACACAATGCTTTATATGTTTGGTAAAAATGTTAATGATATTATAAGAAATATTAACGGTGAACTAAATAATTTATATGCATGGCTTTGTGACATTAATTTGAAAGTAAATATTGATAAATGTAAGTGGTTAGTATTAGGCAAAAAACATACATTGAATAAAATTTCGATAGAGGATTATATTAAATTAAATAACCAGAAACTAGAAAGAGTCCATCAGATAAAATATCTGGGTGTGATGTTGGATGAATGTATGTGTTTTAAACAACATACCGCATATATTGTTAAAAAAGTTGCCAAAAAAATTAATTTCTTAAGGCGTATATCTAAGGATTTATCATTTTTTGCCAGACTGACCATTTATAAAACGATAATTGCGCCACATTTTGAATATTGTTCAACAATTTTATTATTTTTAAATAACAATGAGATTCAAACTCTACAGAAAATGCAGAATAAAGCTATGAGGATTATTTTGCAGTGTAGTAGATATACTCCAATACAGGACATGTTAAATGCATTAAATTTTATAAACATAAAACAACGAATTTTGTTAAGAACGTTACAATTTATATATAAAATAAAAAATTTGCTCTTACCTAGCTATTTGCACAGTAGAATAACTTATGTAAGAGATGGACATGTTTATAACACTCGCCAAAAGGATGACTTTTATATAGAAACACAATTTATTAAGAACTAGTAAATCTTTGTTTTACCAGGGTCTTATGCAATACAATAAGCTACCAGAATATATAAAAAATTGTAATGGGCCGGTTAATCATTTCAAATAAGCTAATTGTTAGTTACATTAGGTCACTACCAGGGTAAACTTTTATATATTTCTGTTTTAAGGATTTTTGTTGCTTGAGTTTATGTAATCGTTTGTATGTATAGAATTTGCTAAATCTATCTATATATCTTCATAACCAAGCATAATTTCGACTTTTGATAGGTATACATTTTTTGTGTAGAATAAAATTCTCTACCTATTTCTGATAGTAGTAAAAATTTAAAGGTACAAAAAAACTACAGCATTCACAAAGGGTTGTAGTAAAATGAACGCCCTGTATGATTTAACCTAATAGAAACATAATCACTGCATGCTTTGTGAAGAGAAACTAAGCGACAGCAAATTTTGCTCAAATCGGTTAACTGGGTTTTGAGTTTAGGAGAAAACAAGAAATAAAAAAGAAACTAACACCCTGTAACTTTTTTGAGACATTTTACTTTTAAACAAGTTTGGTTAAATCGACACCATTTGGGTTCTAGATTATACTCTTTGTAGTTTGTAACATTCGTTAGGTGGCACTCTGTATATATGGGGTGATTTCACTTTAATTACAGAAACAGCAGAAATAGATTAGTTGTCAAAAAATAATAGTCCAAGCATTATAGAGAAATACTTACAGAAATTATTACCTGGACAGCAAGAAAGCTTTTGGACTTTGTAAAAAGGACAAATCTACTTGCTAAATAGGACTAGTAGTGGGACGCACAATAGGCCTAATTAGGCTGCAGTGCTATGGGACTTATTAGGACCAACCACTAGAAGAAGAAGAAGATTACCTGGACAAAAAAATATGACCGTATAGAAAATTAAATTTTAAATCGAGTTTCTTGTTCTTTAAACTCGATCCAAAATGGCGAACATGGTTAAAAAAAATCGCGAAGTTGCAAAAAACAATTTTTCTAAAATAACTAAAAAGGCATCCACTGAGAAGATTAGCCAGTTTTCGAGAGCACCTTTTTTTCAAAAAATCGATATATCGAAAAATAATTAATATTTTAAAATTTTTCAAAAATGTACTTTTTTGGCTTGCCGCGGGCTATGCTTGCAGTAAATAGCAAATATGGGCACGTAAATGTAAACGAGTTATAGAAGAAGAGAAAAGAGAAGATTTTTAACGGTTTTTTCGATATATCTCGAAAAGTAACAAAGCAATCGGTACTTACAAAAAATCTGTCGATAGATCTTTTTAAAACCTACAACTTTCTCATTTAAAATTTTTCGATCGGTGCTATATTTTTTTTAGTTATTTTAGAAACCCGTTTTTTGCAACTTTGCGATTTTTTTTAACCATGTCCATTTTGGATCGAGTTTAAAGAACAAGAAACTCGAAGTACGGAATATGTTTATGTTCAGGTACACTGTTTATTTTTTTTTATTCAACATTTTTCAATTAATTTTGTTGTTACTGTTATAAACGACAAAATTGTTAACTAAAAAAATAGAATAATATGCAGTATGTTGCAACACGTACATTACTCGACATTTTTTGAAATTACAAATTATAAAAAAATAGTGCATACCTTAATATATAAAAATGTTTATTACTAAAAATTATTCAATTTTTTTAATACAAGTTTGCTTTGATATAAAAATTAATAGCACACTCTTACCTGATTTATAGTCACTACTCTTACTTTTGTTAATAGAGTTAACATAATAACCGGAATATAAATATAATATATATATATATATAGAGCAGGAAGGGTAGTCTTGACTGACTAGTTAAGAAAAAAACCAGTGATGTATTTGGGATTGCAGTCAACAGTGCTAAGGGCTAATGTAATAAGAATACTCTGTGTTGTTGTCAAGCTTTCGGAAATGTTTATTTCCTTTCTCAAGATATCTATAAGAAATGACAAAAATGCTTAGAATAATAAGTTATAAAAGCTTATTATATACTTACAAACGTGAGATTATACTATAAAAACCATCAAAAACGAAGTATACAAGAACATTGTTAAAATTTTATGAGCTTCACTAGATTAAAAATAATTGTAACTATAGTCAAACATTCTTTTATAAAAAACAATTTTTAAGTCAATTTTTAACATTTAAACAACTAATACAGTAAAAAGGGCCTTTGAAATGTGAACTATTTTTGATAACTATCAGAACCAGTTTTTTTTTTTAAAAAAAACCTAATATTCAAACTAGTAACGACTGTTTCTTTAACCTCATTGGTTCTTGTATACTTCGTTTTTGATGGTTTTTATAGTATAATCTCAAGTTTGTAAGTATATAATAGGCTTTTATAACTTATTATTCTAAGCATTTTTGTCATTTCTTATAGATGACTTGAGAAAGGAAATAAACATTTCCGAAAGCTTGACAACAACACAGAGTGTTCTTATTACATTAGCCCTTAGCACTGTTGACTGCAATCCCAAATACATCACTGGTTTATATATATATATGCATATTATTTGCAGGTGCACATTTCCGCTGTTCCCCATGAATACATGTTTATATCAGCAGATCATAAAGTACCGGTAATAAAAGTGTGGCATACCTGCTTTTTATTTCCAAAATCTATGCAAGGACGCGGCTACCTTGTTTTTATTGAGGTGCAGTAAGAACGCCTTCGGACCCGGAGGTTGGGGCCTAGCCTGGTCCACTATATAATTCTTTTTATTGCAGTCTCCTTAGGCATACAAAATTATTTTCAGAATAAATTGTGCATCCCAGATTTTGTGAAAAAGAAAAATAGGTATATCAAGAGTAGCGACTATAAATCAGCATATTCACGTAATTAGACTTTTTATTTAATGTAATATTAACCTCGTGGCATTAACCAATGACTGTTACTGAAGGTGCTGCTCTGTTTTCCCAAGAAAAAAATACTCCACTGGCAGTATTTTTGTAGAAATAATGCAATTCAGGTACTGTTACGTTAAATGAATGAAAAGTGATGTATTTTTTAATAGTAGCAGCCGTTTAGGAGATAATTTACTTCTTTGGCGACCATAATGCGCGTATTTAGTCCACCTACTCATATTTGTTTCATATCCATAAATCGATATAAATTATTGGATCTTTTGTTGGCATTATCAGTTAGTAAGCGATAATCTCGTTTTAGTATTATAACTAGCTTTGTTTATTTATTTTTGAACCTGCAGTCCTTGTTGGCCTTATGAACACGAGACAGGTTGTGGCAAAGAATAGAGGAAAATTGTAATCTCCTCGGGGGAAATCATGTCATTATAAGTTCCTCTATAAATAGATAAGATGTCAAAAATGTATCGATGCGGAAGGACTTCGTTTTGGACTCGTTACTTAATTACTTACTAGACCTATTTGCTAATGTTATTTTATTATTTAGTTTTGATATATTTTCCAGAAATAAAATTATTTCTACAAAAAACTGCCAGTGGCGTATTCTTTTCTTGAGAAAAGTTGGCGGGTGCTTTTGTAGCACGTCACTGGTTAAAACCAAGAGGTTTTCATCAAATAAGCGGATTAATTTATAAGAAAAATTCTATAAAAACTAAAAACAAGCCCAAATATCTACTAAACGGTTGCTACTATTAAAAAACATCAAGAAACATTTTTCATTCATTTAACGTAATAGTACCTGAATGTAACATTATTTCTACAAAAAAGTTCCAGTAGCGTATCTTTTTCTTAGAGAAATGGGACGGCACCTCCAGCAGCATGTCTCTGGTTAAGGGTGTTCGATACATCTCTTGCGGGGTAGGCGGTGTGGGAGGGAAGCCTATGCTTATACACGGTAGTTTCGTTGTAGTACCAACCTTACATAAACTAATTTGAGCGAACTAAATATAATATATACGAATAAAATTTATACAACACATATTAGCTTGCATATATTTTTCGTGTTTAATGCACAGCAATTAACTTTTTATTTGAATAAAAGTGTATTTATTCATTAAGAGCTTGTAAAATTATGGATGAAATCTGGCAACATTGTTATGGCGTGGTGGTAAAAGTTGGGTCAACTGTCATTACTGTCAACTCTGCGCTTATTCCGTAAACATGAATGAACATCCAAGATACAAAGGAAAAGTAATGACTGAAAAGTAATGTAAAATGCGTATGAAACAGAATGTGGATTGATAAGAAAAAAGTAAAATGTGCAAACCGAGAATCCATATGATAACTATCAAGAAGTTCAGTGTATGATAGTGAGATGTTGCCTTGTCAAATTGAAGATTATGACAGAACATCTATACTGTTCGTTTTGCAAAGAGATCCTATCCTTTCAATTTTTGTTTCAAATTGCTATTATATTGCATTAGATCACGAAAAATTTATTTAATATTAATTATTACTACAAAACATATGCATATGTTTTCGACTGGAATAATTTTATAATCTATAATCGAGCTATTCAAATATAGTGCGTTAGTCGAAGCGTACAGTGTTGTCATATTTCCTTTCATTGAATCAGATGTTTGTTCAAATTTGTCAAAACGTTATATATTCATTCAATTATCTCAATAATTACATTGTAAGTGCATATTTTTATTGTTTTAAAATGTTTAGTAATATTTAATTCTTTAATTACAATTTTATTTTCCCGATCTTAACCATTTTTAAGAGCAATATTCACGTTTGATTAAAGTTTTTGCCCCAACTCCCATAAGAGCCTGTGTATAAGAGCATAATTTTTAGTATCATTTTTCAAAAAAACTCATTGGCCATCGATCTGATACTTTTACACGAGACAATTTGCATATTTATTAACAGATTTCAATTGCTTTGAAAACTTTCTTACCATTTTTTTTCGGTATCGAACCTCCTTAAAGCCACAAGGTTAATATTCCATTCAATAGAAGGTTTAATTAAGTGAATATGTTGTAGTAAATTTCATTCAATTCCGTCACCGCATTATGAAGATATAGCAGAAAAAATATATTTTTGTATTTAAAGTGAAATCACCCTGTATTTTTTTAGGGGTAATAGTACATGTTCCCCAGTTTTTTAAAATACACTTTAATGCTTGTGCAGGTCAACGTGACAAAGCGAAGGGACTCACTTGTTGTTCCGTATTTGAAGACAGTACATTTAACTGTGAAGTTGAAGTTATATTTAAACAGAAAACAATTTGTTTTTAAATTCCAAACGAACTCCGTATCCTGAGGTCTACATAGTTAAAAGTGGTTACACATTTAAAAGATTATGCGAGCTTTGAATGCTAATACAATATTGGACTGGAACAAATTTAGAGATGCGTTATAAAATTCATGTGAGTAAACAAACTATTTATTTTTATGTATTTCAGTACTGTTGTCTGGTGAACACCCATTCGCTCTCGTGCAAGTGGTGTAGCGCGGCGTTATTTGAGGTTACACTAGCTTGTCCAGCGGCAGGATATGAAAATTATTAAAAAAAAATTGTTTTTACAATGGAATTTGACAAAATAAACTATTGATATGTTTCTAAAGGTCAAAGGAAACCTCTGTATAAATATGACCCTCACTCAAAGTTACATATATAAATGTATAATATAAAAAATGTATACCTAAATCTAGTGCCATCCAATCTTTAGAGAATTCTCCCTCCAACTTAGGGACAATATCATTTTTGTTGCGTTTCTCTTTGAATATTTTTCTAACAAATTGAGCAATAGCTTGCATATGTCTCTGAGACTTTCCACTAACAATACATATATAATCTACATACTTTATGTCTCTTGGAACTTTCGCAACAAATATATTTTTAGAGTTTTCACGTTTTAATACTTCCACTAAATCTTCTATGTCAAAAACACCATCTCTTCCTCCTAAAAAATATTTAAACTTAATCAGAAGAATACTAGTTTTTATATTTTTCTATAAAAAAAAAATGGAAAAAGGCACAGACACAACATAATATAAAATCATGGTTTACACATATTCAAACATTATTAATGTGGTAATAATTTAATTTATAGTATTAATTTGCAGAGTACTGTTGACAACGATCATTTAAGACAACTTTTAAAAGGACATAATGAGAGAAAATGAGACCACCCTTAATAATGCACTGTATAATTGGTGAAAATTTAATTTGACATTCAAAATTTAAGTCAAATACAAATTTAATGGTGGCAGCATGAGGTAACCTGGATTATGGATCATTATTATTGCTATCATAAATTTCTGGTAATATTGCCAAATCTATCGTAAAAATTTAAATTTGATTGTAAATAAGCATGTATGAAATATATTGTACATTTACAGGCTAATCAACCTCTTTGTTTATTTGGGCATATTTTCACTTGTAGAAAAAATTAAAAAATCTATGAAAGCCTTGCGCCATAACAATGTCAAGGTATTTTTTTTATGAAAATAGTTTTGTTTAATAAAAAATCTCACACTGAAAAGAGCAGACATATAAATAAAAAATACACATCACAATACAGAGTGGCTTTAAAGGGTCTGTACACCGCTATACCAGACATAATACGGCTCAAAATAAGTTGATTTAACTAAATTTGCTTTGGTCCAAAAATTGATAATAACAGAGCTACGGGGTGTCAAAGTTGAAAAAATAATAATTTTGGGATGAGAAATTCGAATTTAGCTACGATTTCATTGTATCTTCTAGAGGGCGCCACAAGTGACCATTAGGACGCGATTAAACTGCCAAAATTTTTTGTGCCACGGTTCTTCATTTTGGCTGAAAAAATCTTTTCCCCCAACTTTTCTGCTTAAAAAAGGTATACCTTTCTAATATCTCTAAAGCTATCTCTTAAATTTGTAAATATCTGGTGGAGCGTTGTACATTCATTTCAAAAATATTTTAGAGAAGGAAAATACCTTTAAAATAAATAAAGAAAAAATAATTACTGTGCCACAAAAAAGTAACTTCAGACAATATCTAATCAACTTTACTTTAAAATTGAGTCCTGCAAGGCGATAAGGTTAAAACAGATATTGGGTGAATACTTAAACCGGAAAGTTATTCTGTCCTGATATTTTTCTCATCTGCAAGACCCAAAGTAACTTCTGGTATAATTTGTAGTTGTAATTTTTAATTTATTTTCTTTATATTGTATCTGCTTTTTCTGTTTATTTAATTTTTACAAAATGTAGAGATGTTTGTACAAAAAAAATGTTCTAATAAATTAAAGTCTTATCCAGAGAATTACTATGGATAATGATTGAAAAATACCATAATCTCAAAACCAACAAAATTTCAATTACAAGTTACGACCTCTTGCTTAGCTATGACAGTAATAATGCATAAATTTAGATTAAATTGTAATTTGAATAATGGCAGTCATTTTAAAATCTTTTATTATACAGTTATTGTTTTCTTCTTCCCCTTTACGAATTAAAATTAATTTCAGCATTAAAATAAAATGATGGCACACATAATGTGCACACATGCCAAATAATATTTCCTATAGGTAAATGTTTTCTACTCTACTTCAAGTGTCTTGTAAAAAAATATGCAACCTATAATACTTGTCATTTTTGGTAAAATCAAGAAAAATGCTTTAATCATAAAAAAAATATTTTAAATTAGCATTTATTATATTGTTTTTCAATGTTTCAATTTCAACATTAAATGGCAGGTGATTGTAAATTATTTTAAATGTAACAATACCATATTTTTATATTCAGTCTGATAGAGAATTTTTTTTCAGAATTCAACAATACATAACTTGATTTTCCAATGCAAGGAATAACATGATTTTTTTATTTCGTAATATTTCATTTAATATTAATGATTATTTAATGTACAAGCTTAGAGAAAGAAACATAACTATGTTTTGTCACATACTTGATAATATATTTTTATGTGGTTTCTACCTTAAATGACATTTATCTTTATGTTGAATAATTAAATTTGTATTGATTTGATTGTTCTTATGGCACAATTGACAATTTTGTTGGAATCCTTAAATTAATATTAACAAGTATTATTTGCATTTTCCTTATAAAAATGAGGTTGACATATATACTATTTTATGCAGAAAAACATCCCTTATCAGAATATGGCAAAAAATATAACGTTCAATTAAAAAAAAATGATAATTGTATCATTAAGTTTTGGCAAAAAATTGTAGCAAATACCCGTTTGTAATATAATCTGCTTTTAAAGTAGAAAAAAATAGCAGTTATACTTTACAGAGTTTTTTACGAGACACTAGTAGATGTACGTTTACAAGGTAATCAAAATTAGCTGTAAAAAATGTAACTAAAGCTTCCTCAGACAAAACCAAAACAATCTCGAAAATAATTAACAAACTTGCCTTAGTATCAAAAAGCTTCCTTAAAAAGATATGGGACTTCAAAAAAATTTTCCTTTTAAATTATTTTATAACACCCCTTCACTGTTAAAATGTTTCACTGAAATTTAGAAGTTTTTGGGTGATTGGTTGAATGTCAGATGTTCACTTTTAAATAGGGAAAAGTTGGTCTACATTAAAAAATATTTTATTTAATTTGAAATTTTACAGAAAAGTTTAAGTTTCATTGAACTAACATAGCCCAAATATTCGACTATCCATAACAGATAACTTCAGCAAAAAAATTAAAATTTGTTTTCTCAAAAACTAGGTATGTATTTTAACTGTACGAAAAAATAATTGTATCATTCTTGCATTTAAATTAATCAAAATCTCTACCAACTATAAAGTATAGCGAAAAACAAGATTATGTGTTCTTATGTGTACCACACATTACAGTTTTGACTGTATGGTCTAAAACTCAAATTGTGTAATTAAATATGTGAAATGTCATGCCCCACACTATTTGTGCCCTGCTCAATTCAATTGTTGGAGAGGTAGACAGCAGTAGTGGCTATTGTAAGGATTTAGTAAAATATATTCTTTCTACTCATCATATATTACATTAATTGCTGTTCTGATCTGAGGAAGCTTTGGCTAATATTTTATTTCGCCATATATACATTTTCACTAATATATGAAAAGTTGTATTTTACGTTCAAGATTTAATCCTGGTAATAAATTATCATCTGGCTCATCTTCTAGTAAATTTGAATATTTCAACCGTTCTTCATAAACATCTAATATTATTTCCGAATCCTGTTCATGAAATATTTTATATTTTGAACTCATATCACCCAGTCTCTTTCCAGAAAATTTAATTTCAGATTCATTTTCCGAAGCATATCCTTTAGTTAAAATGTTACAAGTACAAAACTTCATGGAAATTAATTTGTGTACTTTTCTGAAAAGTCTTGTCAACATTTCTAATTGTATCTTTTTAACGAAAATTATTGTTTTAATGTTCCACAAAAATAAAAAAATCAAAACCCTTGACACAAAATATGTTGACAAAAAAACATATACAGTATACAGTAGACAGTAGAGTCAGTAGACCCAGTAGACAAATGAATAAGGACCACAGAATTAGAAAAAGTATAACAAGTAGTGTTGGGAATATTCGAATTCAAATTACAAAACTATTCGATTCTGCCAAGGTCTCGAATGCATTCGATTCTGTTGAAAGTATTCGAATAGTCATTTGCAGAGAGCGCCGCGCCATTATTCCATGGCTAGAAATTGGTCTCAATGATTTGGGATCGAGGGGGATTATCCCTCTTTATCCTGCCTCATCTCGTGTAGGCCTGGACAGCCTTCGTAGGTGGGCCCCATCCGTCGTCTACCCCGACCGCAAATGCGGCCGGTGTGGGCGCTTTGTGGGACCTCCTTTTGTCCTGGCTGGGCCCCGCCGGCTAGGGCCCTTTCTTCTGGCGCTCTTCTTGCTTCGCCGGCTCGTCTGTGTAAACCCCGGGGGTGGTGTCATGTTTATGGGTGGTATGGTTGGGTAGGGTAGTGCGGCTATGCAGCCTGGGATGCGCTTTGTTAAGGTGGCCCTTAGGCTAGCGCGGGAAGGGAGAGGTAAGGAGGGTATGGGGGGGTGTGTATGTGTGTGTGTGTCGCTGTCTTCGTTTCTTGATCCTGGCAGTCTCTGAAACAGAAAAGGTTAGCGGGCAGGAGGGGGGGGGATGTCGTTGGGGTGGTCACCCAGGGTCAAAAAGTTGGTGTCTAGGTCTTTTGTG